CATCTTTCGTTTAACGAACAAACCAATAGCGGCCAACTCTTGTGTTTAATGTGTATCGAATTAAATTAATTATAAAAATAATATCATAAAATCGAGACATATGTCGGGAAAAAGAGAAATTATTTTAAAAAATTAGCAATTCTTATGTATAAAAATATAACAAAGGGTGCGTTCCATTTAATGCTCGCAACGCTCCTGGAGTCATTTCATCATCTTGTTGTTTATCAAATTTTAAACAAAGACAAGTAACGCTCGCGAGCGTTGCGAGCGTTAAATGGAACGCAGCCTAACAGTCTTGTAATTAAATTATATTAACTAACAATTAATAATTATATTAACTGTTAATTATTAATTATTCAATTAATTTATATTAACTATTAATTATTAATTATTAATTATTCAATTAACTGAATTGAAACTGAGTGCTCTGTCATGTAACATTCTACCTAAAAATAGAATACAATTTATGGTTTATAAAAGAAACAAAAGATTCTTTCTCCTGCAACAACCGATTGAATTGTAATGATATTTGCATGTCATAATGATATTTGTCCACAATAAATACACTTCTCAACAAAATTAAAGCATCACTTACTCTACCCTCCAAAAATAGGCAAAATTCAATAGAGTGTAACTTCGTCAAAAATGATCGTATCGAGATGTTCAAAAAAGCATTTTACAGCTTGAAATCTCTACTTTTCAAATCGGTACTTTAGAAAACGATCCTACTGATTTTTCATGGAATTACACGGATCGAAAAGGAGACCCAACGAATCTCAAAATTTTTTACGAACTTTGACAAGTTCCATGGCGCGAATTAAAAATCGCATGCAAATACAGTTTACAGCTTTCGAAAGAGTGAATCTTTATCTTTAATTGTTTTTTTTGTTTGAGCGTTGTACGATTTTTTTTCACCGAGTAATTCAACATTAAAGTAAAAAGGTCCTTTTTGCTTCAATTTGAAAAGTAGAGATTTCAAGCTATAAAATGCTTTTTTGATCATCTCGATACGATCATTTTTGACGAAGTAACACTCTTGAATTTTGCCTATTTTTGGATGGTAAAGTAAGGTGATCTTTAATTTTGGCATATGTATTCTATGACAAGCTTCAAATGAGTGTAACTTCGTCTGATCACGGATTGAGAAGTGTATTAAAAATGTGTGAAAAATGTAATGGGTCACTTCTAGCGCTCTACCATACGTATATATACCTAAAAATAGAATACAATTTATGTTTCGCAGAAGAGATAAAGATTCTTTTCCTATAACCAAAATAAAACCAATTAAATTGTAACTGTCACGCCATTTAACATTTTATAAAATAATTTGTAGGTAAAATTAGTGTTCGTGTATGAAGGTATCGCGTGTGAACGATAGCGGATTCATATTTAGCCGCTGGTTGGCCACTATTTTGGCGTAGAACGATAGTTCATGCAGTATTACAGGACATGCACGTCAGTCGTGTTACTCTACTTAGGCGAGTACTAAGAATAATAAGTACAAGAATATTCAGTGAATGCACAAAGTATAGCGCGGTATCGTCGAAATAATTAAAGCATATCCGCGATATATCGAAAGCGAATGATATTGCGAGTCTCGTAATCAGTAATCACGATAGCGAAGTCAATATGCCATTGAAGCCAAAGAGATAGTCAAAAAGCGGAATTTTACCTTTCGTACATACTCACTCGTATTTTTTTCCCCTTCCCAAATCTTTTTTCGAATTTTCCATCGCAATTCGAAATGTCCAGGTTATACGCAGATACCGAGAATCTTATGCTAACTTGAATTGAAACAGAAATATCTAAGGTATCCTTGCAATAATTGTCAATCTTATCATCACAAAAAATTGCGAATTAATTTACTTTGTTATCATCGATTACTGAGTCGACCCTGCGAAATTCTCATGCGTTTCCCTTAATCCTAGCAATACAGACTTGAATCTAGGAATAAAAGTACCAAACAAAATTTCAAACGGCCAATTCGAAGGAAGGTCCAATCTTCTTTCGACAAGCCGCTAAATCGTGTGAATTTTTCATTAATTAATGACACCATCCTACTTGTATTATCAATTAATTACATTCGTTTTAGTCGAAGTATGAACTTTCCAAGAGGAAACATCACATCCAAAAATATGCATTTTGATGGAAAAAGTAGTCAGATTTATAAGAGCCGCAATTCATGTTTGAAAGAAGTATTTTTTTAAATCTGTTCTGCTAGGTTTAATTGAACTTTTAACGCATCGTCTCTACGTCGTGAGTTTTGTATTTGTATAATTATATATGTACAATTGCACATAATTATATTCGTTCCAAAGCACAATAACATACACTTGCGGCGAACGCAACTGAACAACTCCGAACAACGAAAAAGCGAAAAACAATATGATTATGCTGAAATAATAATAAAAATTACACTGAGCAAACTATCCGAATCTATACTATTGTATAAGCTACTCTAATTCGACCTACTCTATAATTCATACGTAATAAGTATCAAATAAATAACTACGTATATAGAAATGCCTTAATGTGTTTTTCTTTTGTGCTTGCACAACCAACGAAATAATAAATAAGTTCGTAAGCTATATAACAGGGATGGGAAGTAACTCGTTACTTGTAACGCTTGTAACCGTTACAATTATTTTTTTGGTAAACGGATTGGTAACGTAGTTACATTTTTTCGGTAACGGTAACGAATTATACAGTTACTTTCATCGTTACTTTTTGTATTTGGAACTTTTTGTATTTATAACAAAATTTTCGTATGTATATTCAATCTTCAGTTTTTAGCTAGTATTCACATAGTTTACTCTTATTTTAAGACTGTTTTAAATAATGTCTTAAAATATTAATATGACGCTGTGATTGGATTATGACATCTTAAGAATGCCATAAGTCAATTAATATCACAAATTAAATTGATAAGTATACTTTAATAAAATAATTTTACGTTTATATGCATCTTAAAATACTTTAAAAAATTTATTGTAAAAAATATCAGCTGAATTGCGTTTCAAGATCGAAAATTTAATTGACGCGTAGTTTGTAAAATTGGATATATTAATATAAATTTAATTCGAAATATTAAGCACGAAACTGGAAGCTCCAGCTCGTATCGAAAAGTCCTTCATTTTCCTAGCTGTATTTTTATATATCGGTCATTGTTGTATTGCTTTTATTAAAACAAAAAATTGCATCTTAAATTATTTAGATTGATCTTGTTTCAGGATTAAAAAAAGTAACGGAAAAGTAACGAATCGTTACTTTTTAAGGGGTCTTACCACCCCTGAGACCTTAAAATGATACCTAAGTTTGGGATTTTTTTGTGGGTAAATAGATAACTTTATTTAAAAGCTGCTCAAAGAACATTGTTGTACATATATAAAGAACAAAAATAATATTTGTTTTACTAACAAATCTTAAAACGCTAACACGATACAAAGCGGATCTTGGTGCTTCCATATAATATTAGTGAATCTTACAATTTCCGGTTCATATAACACCACGTGACCGCAAATCACGTGCATCCCCGTAGCTCCGAACCAAGTAATATGTAATATTCACACTAATATATGGAAGCACCAAGATCCGCTTTGTACCGTGTTGGCGTTTTAAGATCTCATTTGTTAGTTAACTTTCCACGGTCTTTCCTGATACTTATATATTTGTTTTATTTTTTTATGCACAGAATGGCGGCGCAATGGCCTACTTGCGGAATCCATTTTTTCTGTTTCTTCAAATCGGTGATTGTCGATCGGTGATCTTCAATCGGTTCTTCGAAACACAAAGAATTTTCATTTTCTACATATTAAAGACTAGAGACGTACGTAGGAATTTTTTTAAATAGTGATTTTTCTCGAAATGGCAGCTATTTTTACGAAAAGTTCGTATTTTTGTCAATACAAGTCTTTCAAGCAAAATAGCTGCCATTTCGAGAAAAATCAATATTTAAAAAAATCCCTACGTCTCTAGTCTTTAATATGTAGATAATGAAAATTCTTTGTATTCAGGGCTGGGCATATTTCAAATACTTGTATTTGAAATACAGTATTTGAAATACAATTTGTATTTTGTATTTTGTATTTCAGCGGAACACATAAAAGTATTTTGTATTTTGTATTTCAAATAAATTATTCAATGTATTTTGTATTTCAAATACAATTTCAATCTATTTTGTATTTCAAATAAAACTTAAAGTATTTTGTATTTTGTATTTCAAATCGAAAGATTGAAAGTATTTTGTATTTTGTACTTCAAATCAAAAGATTGAAAGTATTTTATATTTTGTAATTCAAATACTAAGATTCCTAGTATTTTGTATTTTGTATTTTAAATACTTTAATGGTGTATTTTACCCAGCCCTGTTTGTATTTTATTCAAGAGCAAACCGTGTGCCTGGAATCCTGTACACTGATAGAAAAAAAGGTACATTGCAAGTGTAGGCCAGTGCACCGCCATTTTGGACAAAAGAAAAATAAAAAAATATTTTTTTTATTTCTTATATATGTACAATAATGTTCTCTAAGCAGATTTTAACATTTACCCACAAAAAAATTCCAAACTTAAGGTATCATTTTAAAACCTCAGGGGTGATAAGACCCCTTAAGTAACGGTAACGATAACGAGTTATTTGTAAAAATTAGTAACGGTAACTAGTTATTTTTTTAACTCGGCAACGAGTAGCAATAACTAGATACCTTTAAAAAGTAACTTTCCATTCCCTGCTACATAAAACCTAACGCGTGACTCCGGGCAGTCACACGTCATCGAGTATCCTAATCGAAGACATTTAAAAAAGCTCACTGAAGGAGCGGCGGTCTCCCTCGACACACGCGATTACCTGCACCGTCGAATCGCGAATCTATATAATAATTTCGAATAACGTGACTGTGAGAAGAAGAGGATCCGCGTCGATGAAATAAAAATCGCGTGACTCGCGGGGGATTATTTTCTTATCTGCGCGCGCGACTCGCGGAGGACGAATCAGGAACCGGCCGTCAACGCCGATTCTCTGGCAGCGTCTCTCTGCGCTCGTGCACCTCCACGTCGACGACGACGATCGACGTGGAGTCGACGGCACCCGGGCGCGCGGGGATGTGCAGCGCGCGATCGACGCCGTTAACGACGGTAGCCTGATCCGCGGTTCGGCTGGCTAGCCGATCATCCCGCTGGACCTGCACCACCTCGTTGGGGATGTCGGGCCCGTCGGCGGTCTCCTCTAAGGGCTCGTAATGACCCGGTTTCACCGACGGCGTACGGCTCAGCGGCGTCTGCGACCGTCTCACCTGCTGCCGCACGACGCTCGCGTCCCTGCTTACCTTATTCAACGCGCGCAGCATGTTGTCCGGCATGTGGTCCTGTATCATCACCGGGCTGATTAGCACCTCGTCGAAGTCGCACGGACCGGCCCACAGTGCCTGGTACACTGGCTCGTGCTTGCTCAACATTTGTCTGAAATTCAACGCGAAAGAAGGGCTTTGAGCCAACCACTGCACCGAATCCGATAAACTCCACCGATTGCAAGACTATGCTGTTTGACGTATCATTTATTTTTATTACACAAGCTTTTTTTTAATATTATAGATACTCCTTGAGTAGAGAATTTCTCATATCTTTAACTTAAATGTACATATTAATCCTTTGAAGCACGGTGGTCCCTATAGGGACCACCTTTTTTACCCGCTAATTTTATTTATAAAAATTCAATTTCGAAGTATTTAAAAATAGTGGTTGGTTTTTCTAATAGCTAAGGTATTTGTCTACAATATTACACTACTAATGTTTAAATTTCATTTGTTGTAAAATTGTTATAAAGAAACAAACACCAAAAAATGCAGTTTTTTTTTGGGGAAAAAAAGACGTTTTCCAGCTTATTTGAAGTTCGATTTTCGTGGCAATTTTTACTAATGGGTCGCTGATGACGAATCCGGGGTCAGATTTCCAAAATTCAAAATGGCGGATTCAAAATGGCCGATCAAACATTTTAAAAATAATATACTTTGATCTGAAAATATTTACTCGGGGGTTTTTTGGGTCGCTGAGTATGAATATGCAATCAGTTTTTAATTTTTATGCGTTTCATCTCGATCAAACAACTTTTTCCTAATTAGGTCCACCATCTTGGATCCGCCATTTTGAATTTTGGAAATCTGAGGTCATATACGTAATCAGCGACCCCGAAAACCCCCGAGTAATAAATTTCAACTGTTTTCCATGTAAAGAAAAATGTGTGCTTCAAAGGGTTAAGGGGGGCGTCTGGTTTAGGACGCTGAATCATAGGTGATTTTCGCGAATTTTTTAACAAAGAAAAGTAAAGTCGATCTTTCCATAACTGTACGGATACTTTACTGAATACTTATATTATACAAAGGAAATTTTTAATTTAAAAATTTTAAGATAATAATAACGTCATGATAAATAAGGGATAAAACGTCTCGCTACTGAAGTTATAAATTGGCGGGCGAAATAGAAAAAACTATTTGACGTATCGACTTCATATAAAGTTCTTTATTTAAATTACTGTCAACCATCGTAAATGAACTAAAAACATGTTTAAAAAAGTTAATTTAAACAATTTTTATTGCACAAAGAAAGTAAAAAAATTTTTTTTTCCAGTGTCACTTTTTCTTTAAAGTCCTAAAAATTTTGCAACTTTTTAAACATGTTCTTAGTTAATCGACTATACAATTATATGCAAATAAAAAATATTTTTGGTTTTTTTGTTTCGGACAGAATTTACCGGCTTCATTTCAACCGCCATTTTGTAACTCCAGTAGCAAGGCGTTTTAATCATTTATTTGCCATGACGTTATTATCTTAAATTTTGTTTGTATAATATAAGTATCCAGTAAAATATCCGTACAGTTATGAAAAGATTGACTTTTCTTTGTTAAAAAAATTCGCGAAAATCACCTATTTTTCAGGGTCCTAAATCAGACGCCCCCCTTAACAGCATAAATTAACAACAAAAAATATTTTATATGTTGAATGTTTACTAAATAAAAATTAAATTTTTCGGTTAGCATGTCGAAAAAGTTTTAATAAATTTTAAGAAAATCATGCTATATAAGTTTTTTTTTCAGATACTTGTATAAGTTTAGAGAATAAATAGTAAAAATAAAGGAATAAACATGTTGTTTCTACGTGACATGATGGTTATTTAATTGCAACAATCACGAAATTTGCGAATTTTGTTGAAATATTCGTAAAATCGTAATTAAAATTTTGGCAAAATTTTCGAAATTTTTCATCAAAATCTTTCTACTGTTTTATATTTATATATTACTGCATCTTAAACTTTATTGTAAATAAAAATTTCTTACGGTAAAACGAAACGTCATGCGTATGCTAATTTATTTCTCAAAAGGAATCATTTAGGATGTGGAAGCATGCAGCTCAATCCACATGAGGGCTATAATCAAAGGGCTATAAATATTAAACTGTTTTAATAATGATGAATATAGATATTAAAACCATCAAAAATTACCAAACCACTTCCTTTGGCACAATATTACCCGTATACTGGAATATTCTAGTCATGCATATGCATTGCATATCCCGAAAAAAATGTATATAAAATCACAAAAAAATAAATAAGGAAGAGTTCCTTTCTCTTAACAATCCTCTCACATTGTAAATTAAATTGCATTGTAATTTCTAGATTAATCCGTCTCCTTAACTTTATTTTATTAGAAACAAATTAATAATATTACTCTATGTGAAATCTATTGTAAAATTGTAATTTTTTTACCTATCTAATTTAAATTTAGATTTAATTTTTAATTCATTTTTCTGCAAGGATCGTAATTTTGTGTAATATTAGGATGTAAGCGATTTATACGAAGAACAAAATTCCGATACATGCGAGCATACATTTTCCTCGAGATATTATAGGTGAAAACCATTACGGTGCGAAATTCTAAGATATCGAGAGAACGAGATATCGAAATAATATCCTACGCAATAAATATATAGGATATATAGGCCCATAGACGCATGCGGGCATATCTCCAAAATGCAACAACTCAGAGCAGAGTGGTCCTGAAAATGTATACAAATTATCTACAATAATAGACATACCTCCAATGCGTCTCATACTTTTGCCTAAAAAGAAATACAGGCGCGATTAACTTTTTATGCTTTCCGACTTGACGAAACAAAATCGGTTTTATTTTCGCGCGCAATATATACAAGCAGCAGTCGATTTAACGTTTCTTTCAGTGCGCAATTAGAAAAGTAATAAAAAAAAAAGTAATAAAATTCTACAATAGGAAAATATGTTCAACACCGCGATATCAAATAAAAAAAATAACGACTAAAGTTAACTTTTTCAGATATTAAACATGACATGATATGTTACGATTTTTATATATCATTACTGTCGTAAATGGAAGTATTTAATCTTACTGTTGGACGAGCTCAAAGTCATTACTGCCGACGCAATTCAATCATCGATAGAGCAGATAATTTTAAAGTCATCGAGATTCTGTTTTAGATACGCGAATCAGATCTATTAATATTAAAGCTGTTACTTTTTACTTCGAATATTCAAAGTTTCGGAAAATACATTCGTGCAAATGTAATTAAAAAATGAATAATTTTTATTAATTTTACAATTTTACATTTCCTGTTTTTAGGATTGTTTTATGCTGACGAAGATTTAATGACGCCAAAACAATTATATTAATTTATCATATTCTTCATTATTTATTTAAAAATAAATTTGTTTCTATTTCTTTTAATTTGATTGTTTTATTGATCATTTCCTTATTTACATACGTCTCATCTTTAATTATTAATTTGTAATATTTCAGGTTAAATACTTTCAAATTTTTTAGAAATAATTACGTATATATATATTTTAAGCATATATGTATATTAATTCTTATTTACAATATTTGTAAATTTTTTGAATAAATTCATTTGCACGAATGTATTTTCGAAACTTCGAAGCTTCGAAAGAATTCAATAATTTTAATATCAAAGCTTCAAATCTTCGAGGTTGGAATGTCGAAGCGCCTTCGAGGCAAATCACCAGCCCCTATAATTAATACTTACTCGCCCTTGTTCGGATGATGTCGCACCACGTGTATGATCCGCCCCGGCGGATACAGCGGCCTGTGCAGTGTCAGGGCGATGCTGGAATCGCTGGGTACGATCGTCTGCGCGCGCGCCCGATCCTTGTCCCGCTGGTATTCGCTGATACAACCACCGGCCTCCAGGTTGGCCGCCGACGTGGGTGTCGAGCCGCAGCCGCAGCACATCACCGAGCACGCTATCGTCTTCCACTGGAATATAATTCGCGGACAAACGCGACCGCGATTAGCTCAGCTTAGTGTGTCCGATGAATGCGACCAGTATTCGAATAAATGAATAAAATAATGAATATGAATACGAGTAAAAATATTACTTTTTTCATATTCATGGAAAACTGAATAAATACTTTTCATGCGATTTGAATGGATATATTTGTGAATATTATGATTACAAATATTTTCGACTTCGCATTCACCCCCCACTTTACACATTAAAATTCAGACTTCGAGCTTGGTTTAAGGGGTTACATCATCTTGAGCGCCTAAAAATCATAGGTAACTTTGAGAATTTTTTTAAGAAAACAATAAAAGTAATACAAAATTCGTTTTAAGGTTTTAATAATACATGTTTTTAGAAGTAAAAAATATTTTTTTCATTAATTTTTTTAATAAAATGACGACGCTGAAGCCATTTTATTAAACGTCGTTTTTGTAGCCACTGTCAAATCGGCGTTGCGGGGATCTGTCATTCGATTGAACCTGGAGCAATAAACCAAAATTTTTTAAAAACTATATAATATGTACTACATACGGATATTTTAAAATATAGATTTTTATAAAAATTGCGAGCATTTGAAAAAAAAAAGTCATTTTCGGCCAAAAAATTTGGTCAAAAAATGTTAAATAAAAAAAAAAGTATTTAACATATCAAAATATCCATATGTAGTGCATATTATATAGTTTTTAAAGAATTTTGGTTTTTTGCTCCAGGTTCAATCGAATGGTAGATCTCCGCAACGCCGATTTGACAAAACGACGTTTAGTAAATTGGCTTCAGCGTCGCCATTTTATTAAAAAAATAATAAAAAAAATATTTTTTACTTCTAAAGACTTGTATTATTAAAACCTTAAAACGAATTTTTTGTTACTTTTATTGTTTTCCTAAAAAAAATTCCCAAAGTTACCGATTGATTTTTAGGCGGTCAAGGTGGTGTAACCCCTTAAGTTTAAGAAACACGATGATATCGACGAAAAAATGAGAGCCAGTGCTTTTATTGGGGATTCTGAGGAATCTATTAATTAAATCTATTAATTAAATAATACATTTTATTTACAATCCACGAGATGCTAAAGCACTTAAAATATCTTATAAAATTGTTATTGTAATCCGTTATACGAAATTGCAATGTTCGTTTTTACTGTATCTTTTAGGTTTGTAAAAATATAGAGAATAAAAATTATGTATCATATAAAGAATTATTGTTGCAAAAAAGACTTTTAAATAAAAAATTTGCTTTCTAAAATTTTTTTCAAAATTTGTAAGTTTTCTTTATAAAATCTGGATATTAATAACACTGAAAAAAGTAAGAGAAAACTTCCAAATTTTGAAAAAAATTTTTGAAAGCAAATTTTTTTATTTAAAAGTCTTTTTCGCAACAATAATTCTTTATATGATATATAATTTTTATTCTCTGTATTTTTGCAAATCAAAAAGATACAGTAAAAACAAACATTGCAATTATAGCGAGAATTATTTAGGTACGAAAAATTAGCTAAAACAGACAAGTGATTAGTAAGCACTGCGATACCACGTATGTTTTGTATTTAATCAATATAGATAACAAAGACAGAAATTATATCTGAACTATTTGTCAAATTTAGCAAGAAAGTTTATCTACGACGTTTAATCAGTTCAAACTCCAATCATATTTTGTTATGAGACTTATATTTTCTTGCATATATTCTTAGAATATAAATTCTACGTATGACAGACAATCTTTTAGCAAATACAAAAAACAGCGATATAATTTAAGTGTAATATTTAGAATTCTAGCTGGAACAGCGAAATACTTCTCTGAGTGAACGATATAATTTATTTTTCACTTTCTTTTTTACATTTTAAATAAATATGAATAAATCATAAAATATTCACAAATAAATATTTTTAAAATCCCACAAGTTTGAATAAATATTTAAATAAATATTTTCTTAACATGAAAATTTTGAATGAATATGAATTGCAGTCCAATTACGAATTTTTTGTATTCATGGGACACACTAGCTTAGCCATATCAATTCAGAGAGTGGCCAAATCCTGCGGCGGCCTCCTCCCTCCAACTTGAGAATCCTCTCTGTTTGTTATATTTATTACATACCTTAGGATCGACGCTTCTCTTTATGGCGTTGATGAGGTCCGCCCTGAGACTTTCCATCTGCCGAAGTCCGATCCTCGGTACAACGTCCTTGCCCACCACCACGGAGGTGATAAACTCCTGCGTGTACTGCTGGGCGGGCATGCTCAACAGTCCGCCGGGCGGACCGTACGAGAAGCACATCAGGTCCGGGTAGTCCTGCTTCAGCAGGATCGCGAGGATCGCCGCCGTGCCAGCGCCCAACGAGTGCCCCACCAAGGTCAGCCCGAATTGATGCGTACCCCTGGAGGGATTCTGCGGCGAGATTCGACAAAAATTCTCTATGACAGCTGTTAAATCAGATTTTTAACGTACACACGCGCGACACGCGGATGACGGACTGTGTCGTCTATATTTATACAGTAACGTTTACGTAACGTACAAAATCGAAAAAAAAGAAAAAATTAACCGGCCTGAAATGAAACGTTACTCTCGGCGATATGTTAGCGGGGTTGAAATCCACGGGATGAAAAAAGTTTCTGGCACATTTCACTGCGAGATAAAGCATGTGGATGACCTGGTAAATTTTTTTTCGCAATGTATATTCAGGAGGAATCGACGAGAGAAAGAGAGAGAGTAATTTATTTTTTGTCATATAAAAAGAGAGGAAGCTATTAAAGGCCAAAGCAAATGCAATAACTTTGTGTTTTCTTAACGTAAATTAAACGTAAAATTTTTAATAAATTTATGTATATACAGGGTGGACCATTTTAATCCATCCAGTCGAATATCTCGAAAATCAAGCCCGGAAGAGAAAAATTTTTCAGACAAAAGTTGTTTGGTTTTGGAGGGACCATAAGATGGTACCATTGGTTTGACCTTGAAGAATTATTTGAAAGTCACATGAAAGTCACCTCAATTTTTTTAAATGGCATCCCCTATTTTATATTACATATTTCTTATAGCTGA